GACCACGTCAGGTGTGAGCCTGACAGACAGGACGCAGGATCAGGCCTGGCAACCCCGGGTTGCTCCTCGGAGCCCAGACAGAGCTGCGGAGTGAATTGGGGGTGAACTTCTTCCCCCCACCCCCACCCCGGGAAAGCACCTAGAGAGGACAGGAGGGGCAGGGTTCTCTGGCCACCCCTGCACCTGACCTTGCCCAGCCTCTCCCTGTGCCCTCTGACAGTGGTAACTCCCACACAGGCTGGCTCAGGGCAGGGGCGGGGCCAGCCTCGGCTCCTTTTATAAGGAGAGCACAGGCTGGCCCCGCCCACAGGGCGTGGTGAGGGCGCTGTGCCGGGCCTGTCCTAGGTGCCTGTGTGGTGAGGGTGCCAGTGTGCCCAGAGGAGCCCTGAGGACACTGAGACAGCCATGGGGCTGCTGACCGGGGAGGCGCTGTGGCCCCTGGCTGTGGCCACCGCCGTCTTCCTGCTCCTGGTGGACCTGATGCACCGGCGTGTGCGCTGGGCTGCGCACTACCCGCCAGGCCCCAGGCCGCTGCCAGGGCTGGGCAACCTGCTGCACGTGGACTTCCAGGACATGCTGCACTGTGTTAACCAGGTGAGGAAGGTGGGGGTGGGCAGCCACGGGGGACCCTCCTCGCAGCAGGCAGTGGTGGGGTGGGCAGCAGAGGCCAAGGGGGACCCTCCTCGCAGCAGGCAGAGGTAGGGTGGGCAGCAGAGGCCAAGGGGGACCCTCCTCGCAGCAGGCAGTGGGTGGGGTGGGCAGCAGAGGCCAAGGGGGACCCTCCTCGCAGCAGGCAGGGGTAGGGTGGGCAGCAGAGGCCAAGGGGGACACTCCTCGCAGCAGGCAGTGGGTGGGGTGGGCAGCAGAGGCCATGGAGGACCCTCCTCGCAGCAGGCAGGGTGGGCATGAGCCACAGGCTGGACAAGGAGCTGAGCTGCGAAGAGGGGGCGGGTTAGAGAGGCTCCCTGAGGAGGTCATGCCTGCAGGGCCCAGAGACAGTTGGGATTTTCCAAAGGTCACAGAGGGCAAAGGTTGCAGAGGGGGTGGGACTTGGCAGTGGGTTTGGGTTCTGCTTAGACAGTGTTGAAAGGAGGTGAGCCTGAGTCCCTTCTGCTTAAATATATTTTTATTGATTTCAGAGAGGAAGGGAGAGGGAGAGCGGGATGGAAACAAATGATGAAAGAGAATCATTGATTGGCTGCCTTCTGCATGGGGGTGGAGCCCACAACCCAGGCAGGTGCCCTGACCAGTAATCTAACTGTGACCTCCTGGATCATAGGTCCACGCTCAACCACTGAGCCACGCTGGTCGAGCACGAGCCCCTTCTGTTTAGCTCAGGGGGAAAGGTCTGGAGAAGGGGGAGAGGAGTCTGGCCAGGAGCCCCATTTCAATCAGGAAGTCAGGTTGAGGGAGCAGAGAATGGGCTCAAGTCTTCTGCTCTGTGGGTCCTTGGGCGTCACTCTCACCTCTACGGCCTTAGCTGCTGCCCCTGAGAGAGAGCATGCTCACGTGGCCTACTGACAATTTTGGTGACATTTGCAAACTCAGAGATGCGAGATGCGAGGTCCTTGATCATAGAGAAGTGACCCCAGGACCCCGATCAAATAAAAGTCTTTGCATCGCTCCCTGCTGACCGCCCAGGGGTCCTGCAAGGTCAGGGCCCTGAGAGGGGGCCAGCTTACCCAACACCCTCCGCCCCCAGCTGCGGAGCCGCTTTGGCGACGTGTTCAGCCTGCAGCTGGCCTGGACGCCCGTGGTCGTGGTCAGTGGGCTGGCGGCCGTGCGCGAGGCGCTGGTGCACCGCAGCGAGGACACCGCCGACCGCCCACCCTCGCCCATCTATGAGCATCTGGGCTTCGGGCCGCGCGCGCAAGGCAAGCGGAGGACAGGGCCGACCAAGGCCCAGCGGGCACGGGGCCCGCAGACACGCGGCAGCCCACGCGGAGGAGGGCGGTGGACTCGCTGTGCTCTCCGCGAATAGGAAGGGGCGGCAGGTGGAGGGGGAGCCTGTGCCCAGGGTGGGGGGGTGGGAGGGAGGGGGGTGGGGGGGTGAGAGGGTGGGCGGGGCCTCACCGGGACAGGGCGGGCCAGGCCGCAGGGAGCAGCACTGGCACGAAGGGCGGAAGGAGGGAAACGGAACCGGTGTGGGCGGCCGAGGGCGGGCAGGACCTGCCACGAGAGGGAGGGAGCTGGCGAGCAGTGTGGGCGGACAGCGGGGGGGCCGTCTTCAGCCGGAAGCGGGTGTCAAAGTTGGGGAATGGGTGGGGACAACTCCTGTGGGCGGGGCCTGCACCGCCGGGGGCGGGGCCTGCACCGCCGGGGGCGCGGCCTGTATCGCCGGGGGCGGGGCCTGCACCGCCGGGGGCGCGGCCTGTGGGCGGGGCCGGGCCCCGCTCCGGGGGGAGGAGGGAGAGCCCGCCAACCACGTGTGCGGCAGAGGCGGCGCCAGCGCCCGCCTAGCCGCGCCCGCTCCCCGCTCCCAGGAGTGATCCTCGCGCGCTACGGGCACGCGTGGCGCGAGCAGCGGCGTTTCTCCGTGTCCACCCTGCGCGACTTCGGCCTGGGCAAGAAGTCCCTGGAGCAGTGGGTGACCGAGGAGGCCGCCTGTCTCTGCGCCGCCTTCGAGGACCAGGCCGGTGAGTGCAGAGGCTGAGGGGGAGGCGGGCAGGGGCTGGGGACCAGAAGAGGGACGCCACCCCGCTCTGCACCCCCTTCCCTAGGGCGCCCCTTCAGCCCCAACGCCCTCCTGAACAGAGCGGTGAGCAACGTGATCTCCTCGCTCATCTATGGGCGCCGCTTCGAGTACGAGGACCCGCGCTTCCTCAAGCTGATGGACCTGATGGAGGAAGGGTTGAAGGAGGAGTCGGGACTCCTGCGCGAGGTGGGGGAGTCGTGGGGACCTCCACCTCCAGTGCGCCTCCTGGGAGGAGGGTTATACAGAGGGCGCTGGAGAAGGGCATTCAGAAGGGGCCTCTGCAAGAGCACAGGCCTGGAGGGGAGAGAACTCAGACACCGAGAGGGAGAGGGCGCCAGGGTCACACCCCCAGGAGAGCCAGGGACCTGACCTCCCTCATCAGAAGCCATGACTGGGAGATTTCAGGTTTACCTTTGGGCAGTACAGGCCAAGGGAGGGGGTCGAGTTCAGCCCTGCATGTAGGGAGGAAGCAGGGCAAGGTGGCAACTCCTTGGGACCCGATTTGTCAAGAGGACACCTGGGCGCAGGAAGGCCCGCCCCGACCCACACCTGTGCCCATCCAGGTGCTGGAATCGGTCCCTGTGCTGCTGCGCATCCCGGGGCTGGCTGCCAAGGTCTTCAAGGGGCAGAAGGCCTTCATGGCTCTTCTGGACGAGCTGGTCGCCGAGCACAAGATGACCCGGGACCCAGCCCAGCCACCCCGAGACCTGACTGACGCCTTCCTGGATGAAGTGGAGAAGGTGAGGGGCAGCTGCCAGGGATGGGGGCAGGGGCTGTGGGTTGTGCCATGAGGTAAGCCCAGGGGTTGGGCCCCCAGGCTGCTGGGTGTACTGTGGGAGCCACTGGAGGGCTCCCTCCGTCTGCCCCTTTGCCCGCCCTCTGCATGGCCAGGCCAAGGAGGACCCCAGGAGCAGCTTCAACAATGAGAACCTGCGCATGGTGGTGGCTGACCTGTTCTCTGCGGGGATGGTGACCACTTCGACCACACTGGCCTGGGCCCTCCTGCTCATGATCCTGCACCCGGATGTGCAGCGTGAGCCCGGCTTGGGGGTCGGGTGGGATGGGGGAGGCAGGAAAGGTCAGGCCATGTCCATGAGTTGAGTTGGGCTACGCAGAGGCTGACTCTGAGGTCAGAGTGACTTCCTTTTCCACATGGGCCCAGCCCCCGACTCACCCCCTCTCAGGCCAGAGCCCAGCCCTTACCCCACCCCCACCCCCACCCCGGGGCCTGACCCCTGTGGGGATGCTTGTCTGTCCAGACCGGGTCCAAAAGGAGATCGATGAGACAATAGGGCAAGCGCGGCGACCAGAGATGGCGGACCAGGCCCGAATGCCCTTCACCATGGCTGTGGTCCACGAGGTGCAGCGCTTTGGGGACATCATCCCCCTGGGCGTGCCCCACATGACCTCCCGCGACATTCAACTGCGGGGTTTCCTCATCCCCAAGGTAGGCCTGTGGCCGCCCCACCCCCGCTCAGCCACACCCACCACCTGTGCCCTGACATGGCCACTGACCGGGACCCTAGCCCCGCTCACTGCCCAGCACTGACCGTCCCGTCCGAGGGCGTGGGGGTGAGCGCAGAGGCAGGGCCCCGCTGGGTGGGGAGACAAGCTCAAGTGTTGGAGGAGCCCCTGGGAGCAGGGACGGGTGGCAGGGAGGCCCCATGAGAGGCATGTCACTGGGCCCCACGGGGTCAGGGAGGTGGCCTGGGCGGGCCTGGTCCAGACAGTGTGCTCCCGGGAGTGTTTGGTGGCAGGGGTCCCGGCATCCCCCACCCAGACCCACCCAGGTGAGGTGTCTCCTGCCAGGGGACCACGCTCATCACCAACCTGTCGTCAGTGCTGAAGGACGAGACCGCCTGGAAGGAGCCCTTGCGCTTCCACCCCGAGCACTTCCTGGACGCCCAGGGCCGCTTTGTCAAACAGGCGGCTTTCATGCCCTTCTCAGCAGGTGCCTGTGGGGGCCCAGCCTGCTGTCCCGCCCGAGGGAGCCTGGAGGCAAAGGGCCCAGGCGCAGGCTCATGCCTCACCCCCCACTGCCCCCCCACAGGCCGCCGCTCATGCCTCGGGGAGCCCCTGGCCCGCATGGAGCTCTTCCTCTTCTTCACCTGCCTCCTGCAGCACTTCAGCTTCTTGGTGCCCGCTGGGCAGCCCCGCCCCAGCGACCATGGGACCTATGCCTTCCTTGTGGCCCCACCCCCCTACCAGCTCTGTGCTGTGCCCCGCTAGAGGGGCAACCACACCCCAGCCGCTCCTCAGCTGGGAGCCCTGATGTACAATAAACCAGCCTGGTGGCTGCAGCCTTACTTGGAGTCCCACCCAGGCCCCTTAACCATCCTGGCAGCGAAGGCGACTTAGCAGCCTCCCCAGGCCAGGCCTGCCCGGCCTTGTCCCTCCTCACCTCGCATTGGGACCCACTTGAGAGGCGGTTATACTGAGGCTCAGAAAATGAGAGCTGACCCCAGTCGCCTGTGGAGCCCAATACTGGCTGCTTGCGTGGGTCCCAGTCTCTGCACAGGCCCCAGCCCCTGCTCGCCCCGTGGGAAAGGGAGGCCTCGCTCAGCCTGATGCCGACTCTCAGGCCCAGCAGTACCCGCCCTGCACCACAGGCAGCAGCTCAGCCAATACCAGCAAGTCTGCTCCCCCACTGACACCCCAAAAGGTGGGGAACTCAGGAAGGCTGGGAAGTGATGTGCCAGGTTAACGACCAGGCTCAGTAATGGGGTGCAGAGCTCTCCCTGGGAACCCTAATGGCAGCCCAGGAGCCAGCCCCCTCCCTGGGCGTCTGCGTCACCCCAACATTGAATTAGCCACATTTCCTGACGCCCCAGGTCTGCTTCTGGCCCAGCTGCTGCTAGAAAGAGCTGTCTCCTGGGCCGGCTGCCGCTGGAGAGACTCATGTGGGCTCCAACCCCGGGCACAGTCCTCGGAGTGGCCAGGCCAGGCAGGGCGGGCAGGAGGCTGGGCTGGGGGCAAGGAATGGACTCCTCTGGGCTGCAGACATGTCGCACGGACAGGGGTCAAACCTCGACCCCTGCCACAATGCGGTGTCCACAAGAAAGGAGGCCACAGAGGGACCTTGGAGGATGACAGCCTGACTCTAATCCTTGTTATCACACCACTGTGTGGGCCTGGGCTTCTGTTTCCCTGCAGCCACTGAGGAGAGTGCACCAGATGGCCGCCGGGTCCCGACTTCCTGCGCTGATGCTGGGGCTGTGACATTATTTGCCTGCCACCCATCACCTGTGTCCACTCCCAGATGGGGCCTGGACAGAGCCCATGGGCAGCGCCCAAGGGCTTCTAATGATGGCTTACTCGGGTCCTGGGAGGACCCTTGCGCATTTAGTGAACAGCTTAGGGACCCCAGATGCTCAGGGCAGAAGCCCCCAACGCAACGGCCTCACGGCACCCCTGACGGGTCCCACCAGTGTCCTCTAGATGCCCTCCTGACAAGCTACCCCGCTCCCCGCATGCAGGGAGCTTGGCCTGTCCCTTGACATGGAGCCCAGGCCAGCAGGGCCCCTTCGGCCTCCCCAGAGTACCCACTTCCGAGTCAGGCGTGGTGCCTGCTGGGACAGTGCACACGGCCCACGCTGGGTCTGCAGGGCGAGGCCTGTGAGGAGGCAGCGGGGCCACAGCAGCAGCATCTGTGCGTTTATTGGGTTGTCACTCGTGCTCCTGAGTGTCAGGGCTGTCAGAGACCGGGAACCAGCCCAGCCAGAGCTTCCTCAGGAGCTGGGGGGCCCACCCGCCGGGCCTTTCCTCTTGGCTCTGCACCCCAGAGGCCCCTACAAACATAAGGAGGCAGGCCTTGCAGGTCGCCTGCCGGAGGAACCCTTCCTCAGGGCCAGGGCAGCGCGATCTGATGGGGCAGCACTGACACCAGGGTTCCTCCCACCCACGTCTCTGGGGAGTGGGCTAAGGAGTCTACCTGGGGGCTCCCTGGCCTTCCCTCCCTGGGCCAGGAGGGTGGGGGCTCCCTGGGGGCTCCTCAGGGTCACAGAGGGGAGGGAGGGAGGCGGGCGGGCTGGGCTCTCTTACCAGGAGGAGGTAGAGCCAGCTCCTTTGGGACCTTCTTATCTCCCTGGGAAAGAAGGGCATGGTGGGATGAGACAGGCTCTACAGTGTAGATGGGGAAACTGAGGCCTTGCTACACGAGAAGTCAGGGAGGCCAGGACTCACAGCGCCTCTGCTCCCCTCAGCTCCACAGAGAGCTGCTCTACTGAGATGCAGTTTGGCCCCATCATGTTGAGGGTGCCCCAGGTCCCTCTCCACCCCCACAGCCTGCCCACCGCCCGGCACCTCTTGGGGCACCAGGCTTCCTTACCTCCCAGCCTTGGCTCCCTGCCACCTCCTTCTCCTCAGCCACTTCCTTCCCAGCAGGAGTGGGGCTGGCTGCTCCCTGGCCTGGGACCCTCCCCTCCCCCTCCGGGTCCTTCTCCCCCTGAGACAGGATGTGCATCTCCTCCTTGGTGGCAGCATCATTCAGTCCTCCCGGAGTCTCAGGGGCTGTGGCCTGCCAAGAGAGAAGTGGGCATCACACAGGCCGGGAGGCCCCCAGTACGCCTCAACCCTCCCATTTCCCACACTTGGGGTGCGTACAGTTCATTCTTTCTCCAGGGAAGTCCTTCCCTATCAGCTCCAGAGGTGGGGTGGCGGGGCCGTGAGTTTCCTGGAGGGACCCTGCCCCCACCCCTGGGCCTGCAGGCCTTGAGCCAGGCACCCCTGGGCCTCATGGAGCTGATGGGAGAGCCCCGCCCGGGCCCTTCCAGGGAGGCCTCTTACCTTGGAGGCCTGCTTCTTCCCACTCCTGACTCTGCGTCTCTACAGGGGGAAACAGCATGCGTGCTGGGAGTCGCCCCCTCCCACGCCCACCCACCCGGCCTCTCACGGTGTCTACCCAGGACAGGGGGCCCAGGACAGCCGCCCCCCTCAGGGGAAGAAGAGTCCCCAGTCTTACCCACCTGAATGGCCACAGGGTAGCACTTATCCATCAGCCCCCACAGTGGCCTCAAGGTCTCGCCTATGGACTGCATGACAGGGAGAGAGAGAAGGGATGCGGCTGAGGGCACAGCTGAGGTGACTATTAGTGGGCAGCACTGACCCCTAAAGACCCCAGGGACTTAGGGAACTTCAGCGTGACTGATGCCTTTAGGAAGATAAACTGAGCTCATGAACGGGAACAAGAACAGGCTCTAAAACAGAAACGTTCAAATATCAACCTCTAAAGCTGGAAAACCAAAACTGAGATATGATTATGGGAATGGAAAACCCAATCAAAGTCCAGAAGATAAAGCTGAAAAAAGCATTTCCCAGCAAGAACAGAGAGGATATCAGGAGGACCAACAGCTAAACCATGGATCTTCCTGAAAGTGAGCAGAGGCAACAAGCTGGGGTGACAGGAGATATTCTAAATACATTCTTTTTTAAAAGTCTTTTTAAAAATATTTTTTTATTGATGTCAGAGAGGAAGGGAGAGGGAGAGAGAGATAGAAACATCAATGATGAGAGAGAATCATCGACCAGCTGCCCTGCATGCCCCTTACTGGAGATCAAGCCCGCAACCCAGGCATGCGCCCTGACTAAGAATCGAACCAGTGACCTCCTGGTTTATGAGTCGACACTCAACCACTGAGACACACCTGCCCTGGGCGTACATTCCTTTTTATCAAGACAATTCCCAAAGATGAGGGACAGGAGTTTTCAGGAGAGAAGGAATCACCAAGTGTCCATGACAATGGATGAGGAAAACCCACCCTAGATGCCTTCAGTACATTTCAGAATACTGAGGACCCAGAGCAGAACCAACAAGCTTCCAGAGATTCAAAGGAAAACGTCTGTTCTAAGAATTCAATTTCATCAGACTTTAAACACCAACATTTGAAGCCAGAAGGCAATGAGGATCTTCAGAATCAGTGGGTAAGTTATTTCTAGTCTAGAATTCCATGCCCAGCCACTCGCTCACCGAGTGTGGGTTTGCCGGGAGCCGGTCCATCTTTGCTGTTTCAAGGGACCTGGCATATATGGCATACTGTTCTTAATATGTTTGCTCACCTTCTTGGCACTATGTGTTTTAACCAAGGTCACCTCTCTGAGAAAGGTTGTTTCCCCAGGTAGGGATTTTCACCTGAAGTTAGGGAGGGAATAAAACCCCTTATCTAAGTGCCAGGCGGGTAATTAATCACTTTAACTAAGAACAATCATGCTTAAGCTACATAATCTTTACTCCCTGGAATGGAGATAAGAAACGCCCTAACCTTTGGAATAGAGATTGATAGGATTGGAATCAACTGGTATAAATACAGATGTAACAAGACAATAGGACACAGAACCTAGACGCAGAACCTACACAGAACCTAGAGACAGAAGAACTTCGCTGGAGAGAACATGGCAAAAGATCCTGGACAGAAACTGGCCACAGAACCTAGAGACAGAACCTAGCGAGAGAACCTGGCTGAAGATCCTAGAGACAGAACCTGGCTACAGAACCTGAATAGAACATGGCAAGAGAACCTGGTGATAGAACCTGGCTGGAGAACCTAGCGAGGGAACATGGAAACAGAACCTGGCTGGAGAACCTAGCGAGGGAACATGGCTACAGAACCTGGCTGGAGAACCTAGCGTGGGAACATGGCTACAGAACCTGGCTGGAGAACCTAGCGAGGGAACATGACTACAGAACCTGGCTGGAGAACCTAGCAAGAGAACATGGACACAGAACCTGGCTGGATATCCTAAACAGAACTTGGCTGGAGATTGTGGCTACAGATCCTGGCTAGGCTGCTGATCAACTGAACGCTGTCTCCGTGTCATTCCTTCTTCGCCGACTCCGTCCACACCTTTGGGGACTCCTGGACCTGCTGGGGTTGGACCCCAGCATGGGTTGAGGCCTTTCAGACATGTAATATCACAAGGCTACCCATCACGGAGCCCCGAGGCTGCGTCCCACCAAGGGCTCCCACACCAGGTGTGCAGTGCCTCAGTGGACCCAGCATCCATTTGTGCTCTGACCGGGGCTGGGAGAGGGGGCTTCTGCCACAGGTTCTTGGACTTGGGACATCAAAGAGGCTGTGCAACCCCAGGCAGGAGTCCTGCTCAGCACCACGCTGCTCACATGAGTGTCGAACCACATTCCAGGGCTGCGCACATGCATTAGGATCACCTGCTCCTTTGGGTTATCCAGGCCACTGCCACAGAGCCCTGAAGTGACCATATAGCCAGCTCATGAGGGGTGGGGCTTATGTTTTGACTCTGAGAAAATAGGAAATCTCTAGAATTCACACCGCGCGCGCGCGCGCACACACACACACACACACACACACACACACACACACACAGTTGACCATTTGAGGGCAAGCAGTATGACCCCAGGGAGCCCACCCCAGCCTCTAGGACTGAGCGAGGTGCCTACCGGTGATGATTCCCCAGCAATCACGTGGTCTGGAGCTGTTTTCCCCACAAACTCCTGGAAATAATAGTATACCATTCCTGCAAATGGGTGAAGGAAGACTAGTTAGAGCACTGAACAGAGATGTCATTATTTTAAAGTGTCATATCCCTTGACACCGTGACATAAATTAGGTACTAATTTAAAATGTGTGAGGGGATAAAGTCTTTGAAAAGGTATGCAAGCAAAAATTTGAAAGTCATTGCGGTAGGACTGTATTAGGTTGTGTGGGCTTTTTGGTTTGCGGGTTCTGTGTGTATTTTTGTGGGGGGCAGAGTATGAGATTCACAGTTAGACATGGGTTTGAGCGCCACTCCACCCTGAGGGTGCAGAGGGGAGACGTGGAGAAAAGCGGCCAGCCCCTGGGGAGCCAGGCCTCGGGGAGCCCCCTGGGCAGCTGGAGGCTGGGGGCTCTGAGGGGAGAACCAACTCCCGGGTCCTGACGTCCTCCCCAACTCACCAGCACAGGCCTTACCTGCAAGAATGAAGATCTGCACTATGTATAGGGCCCTGTAGAGCCTGGAAGGAAAGCAGAGTGAGTGTGAGGCGGGGTCTCCCCTGCCCTCACCAGTGGGTACCGGCTTCCCCCCAATCTAGGACCTGCCCTACCGGGGTGTGTCCCATCACCACTGTGGGCGAGGAAATCCCTCAGCTGCCTCAGGGCTCAGCCCGGGCTCCCTGCTGACTGGCTGGCATGACTCTGTGCCTCTGCCTCCTTCAGCAGCCAGGCTTGGCGCCTGGAGCAGACACGGAGCCCGGGACACTCCCTTTCCTCCCTTTCTCACTGTACCTGCGAGCCCATCCTGCCTCTCCAGTCAGAAGGCAGGCCCTGACCTTCCTGGGCCTCACAGGGGATCATCCGGTGCTGGGTCTGCTCTTCTCCCGCAACCCTCCAAGCCCTCCCTCCTCGGGACTGACAGATCCCACACCCGGGGTAGAAATCATGTTCCAGGTCACCTCCCTCTTCTGTGACCCCTCCCTTGGGACAGCAGAGCATTTTGGCATTGCTAAAATCAGCGGTTCTCAACCTGTGGGTCGCGACCCCGTTGGGGGTCGAATGACCCTTTCATAGGGGTCGCCGAAATACATCCTGCATATCAGATATTTACATAACGATTCATAACAATCGGAAAATTACAGTTATGAAGTAGCAATGAAAATAATTTTATGGTTGGGGGTCACCACAACATGAGGAACTGTATTAAAGGGTCGCGGCATTAGGAAGGTTGAGAACCGCTGGCTAAAATGATGCCTCCCTGTGTGCGGGCACACACACACACACACACACACACACACACACTCATGCCCACCTACCAGGACCAGGCCCTCCACCCCAACTCTGAGTCCCAGGGACACTCTAACAGTCAAGGAAAAGTTATAGAGAGCCCTGCTTTCCCTTCCTCTTGGGCCCAAGTGGGGGTTCCCCTGCCTGGTCATTCGGGACATGGTAGTAGGGTGCACCCAAACTTTACCTTTCCTTCTGGCCGCATATACCAAACACCATTTTCAGTCTAAGGAGAAAGGATAGGCAACAGTCAAGGCATCACAGGCCCGGGGCCCCAGTGTTCCTGGACCCCGTGGCCTGCAGGAGTCACAACAGGCCAGAGGCAGTCGGTGGACAACAAGGACCTCCACAGGCCAGGCTCAGCCAGGGGATGGCCAGCTGGTCCAACTAAGGAGGGAGGGCACTAGCACTAGAAGCTTGGGAACTGCTCAGAAATTTCTCCCAAGAGCTCCAAACGAAAGATGGTTTTTGTGCCTCAGAGCTGGGAAGGGAGGTCCCAGGGAAAACAATGGGGGAAGGGGGGGTGGGCTAAGATGAAGGAGAGAGGAATAGGTCTATTGAACATTTCGTATAAAACGTCTCCAGGTGTAGGTGGTGAATGATAACCGTAAACAATAATGATTTAAAACACTTTAAAGTATTTTCTGGGTTACAGAGCATTTGGGGAATAATTTGGGGAGCACTGAGGGCGATTCCCCAGCTTCCTCAAACTATTCTGTCTGGAACCCCCACCAGTGTCAGCATTCCCTACAAACTGGCACCATGGCAAGTCAAGGTCTCCAACGTGAGCTGGACCCTGGATGAGGCCAGTGAGCCTCCGCTTCCCGAGGCAGCTCCCATTCTCCACAGCGGCTGTTTCAGAATCTTCTAAAGATTTCAACCTTCACCAGATGCCAGTTCCCTTCACCACCAAACCCTCCCATTCATTCTCTGCTTCTCACAGGCCAATTCCTCCTCCAGGGAGGGGCTGCCCTCCCCTCTGAGACCGCACCCTCTGTGTTGCATTCCATGTGGTCTTCTCACAACCTGGGCGTTTGGGGTCTCCTCTCTGATATATTCAGCCTTTCCTTCTCTAATGGCTCCTTCCCATCAGCATTTAAACACATCACTCATCTCTTCCATTAAAAAAAAAAAGCCCCTCTCTCTGAACCCACAACCCTTCTCAGTGAGGGTCCTAACTGGCCCCTCCCCTTTTCACGGTCTCCTGGAGAGAGCGGTCTAAGCCCCACAGCCCACCTGTATCTGTGTCTGACCCCACAAGTTCTTGAAACCTCTCTCACCAAAGTCACCAACATGCTCCTGGGCACCAAATCCAGGGGCCCCTCCAGGCCTGGCTCACTTCAACTACGCAGGGCGCTACAGCACCCCGGGGTCCCTGGGCATCTCTGGGAACACCGTTGGCGGTGTCTCCAGCATAAGCTTTGCTAGTCATGTGTATAACTAGTGTGAGCCAAGCTTTTAGGCTTTTTCTGAAGGAGGTTTGGAGAAGGGAAGGAGAGAAAGTGAGTCCTGAAGGAGAGGAGAAGGGCAGGCGAAGTAGGAAGGGAAGCCCAAAAGGTAGGCTAGGAGTCCCAAAGACCATTTTCACCTGCTTAGGATGCTTACTGCCTTTGAGCCACTTACCAAACATGCCAACCTTGACCTTTCCTTCGACCACGGCAGTGTTCAGGCAGCCTGCCCGCCTTTCCTCTGAGAAGGGCACTGAGCCGGCTAAGGCTAGGAGTCCAGAATACAGCCCCTCTGTGTGTGACATCACATCTTAGGGGGCTTTATGACAGGACAGCCACTCCAACCTGGGCCAGTGCAGGTGGTCAGCTGCCTCAGGGCGGCTTTCCATCCCAACCAGTCAGAGCCAGCACCTTTGTGGATATCTCTCTGGTTCCATTCAACGCCATCAATGCTATACAAACACACAAAGGCGTGAGATTCAGTCATGTCACATAATCCAATAAGCACATTTTCTGGATCAGAAACAAGAACACAGCCTGACAATTTCTAAGTGTTACCCAACCATCTGATCAGTGTCTGCTGAGCTTCCCTTTGGGGCCAGGAATAACGCCAAGGGGATAGAAAGGTAACAGGACACAGAGCCTGCCCTTGGGGCGCTTGAAGATATCAAATAGACATCTTCTACCATCCCCAAATTACTGTAAATGTCACTAAGTAATAATTACAAAACTATGGATAGTTAAACTAACAAATGCCGAGTTCCACGTACAGATGAAACATTAAGATAAACCATAAAACAAGTCTCAGTAAATTTTAAAAGATTAGTTATTTCAAGTAAGTCCTTTGACCACAATGGAATTGAATTAGAAATCAGTAACAGAAACTCCCTGGAAAAATCCCCAAATATCTGGAACTAAACAACATACTTTTAAATAACATATGGAAATAAATAAATAAATAAATAAATAAATAAATAAATAACATATGGGTAAAATTAAAAGTCAAAAGGACCCTGGCTCAGCTGGTTAGAGCATCATCCTGATACGCCAAGGTTGCAAGTTTGACCCCTGATTAGGACACATACAACAATCAACCAATGAATGCATAAATAAGTGCAACAATAAATCAATGTTTCTCTCTCTCAAAAATCAATGAATAAATAAATTTTTTAATTCTCATTATGATGGGGAAAATAAGACTTTTTTTGGGGGGGGGGGGACGGGGGCTAGCAATCTGAATTTGTGCCAGTAACCTAATGTACATTCTTGATAACCTATAATTAAGTCACTGCCTCTTTCCCAGAAACTGGTCTTGCAAGACCTGTTACCTAAATGCTCACATCTCACAGAGGCCATAAACCAGTGGTTCTCAACCTTCTGGCTCTTTAAATACAGTTCCTCATGTTGTGACCCAACCATAAAATTATTTTCATTGCTACGTCATAACTGTAACGTTACTACTGTTATGAATCATAATTTAAATATCTGATATGGAGGATGGTCTTAGGTGACCCCTGTGAAAGGGTCGTTCAACCCCCAAAGGGGTCACAACCCATAGGTTGAGAACCACTGTACTAGAGGCTCGATGCACGAAATTCATGCACGGGGGTGGGGGAGTCCCTCACCTGGCCTGCACCCTCTCCAAATCTGGGACCCCTCGGGGGATGTCTGACCATAGGAATCGGGCCTAAACCGGCAGACATCCCTCTTGCGATCTGCGACCTCTGGCTCCTAACCACTCACCTGCCTGCCTGCCTGATTGCCCCTAACCACTCTGCCTGTCTGCCTGCCTGCCTGATCACCCCTAACCACCTCTGCCTCAGCTCCCATCACCATGGCTTTGTCCGGAAGGAGGACCGGAAGATGTCCGGTTGACCTGGTCTAATTAGCATATCATCCTTTTATTAGTATAGATAATTTACATACCATAAAATTTATCCTTCACCCATTTGAGTGTATAAGTCAGTGAATTTTAGTATATTTACAAAGTTGTGCACTAGCATCACAAACTAATTTTAGAGCATTTCCATCAGCCTAAACAGAACTTCATGCTACATTCACTCCTCATTTCCACCTCAGCACTTGACAACTGTAATTTACTTTCTGCTTGTATACATTTGCCTTTTCTGAGCCCTTCACAGAAATGAAATTATCTGATTTGTCCTTTCACTTAGCATGTCTTCAAGGTTCATTGTGGCTGAAGAATATTCCATTGTATGAACGCACCATATTTTGTTTATACGCTTTTTTCCTTGTCCATCCAGTTGATGGACTTTTGAGTTGTTTCTATTTTGGGCTATCATGAATAATGCTGCTATGAACATTCACATACAAGTGTCTGTGTGGACAAATGTTTTTATTTTTCCTGGGTAGAAACCTAGAACTGGAATTTATAATAAGTCTATATTTAACTTTTTAAAAAATATATATTTCTTTATTGATTTTAGAGAGGAAGGGAGAAGAAGAGAGAGAGAAACATCAATGAGAGAGAATCGTTGATCGGCTGCCTCCTGCACGCCCCCAACTGGGGATCGAGCCTGCAACCCAGGCATGTGCCCTTGGCCAGAATCGAACCTGGGACCCTTCAGTCCACAGGCTGATGCTCTATCCATTGAGCCAAGCCAGCTAGGGCTATGTTTAACTTTTTAAGAAATTGCCTGACTGTTTCCCAAAGTGGCTGCACCATTTCATATTCCCACCAGCAATATATAAGGGTTCCAATTTCTCCATATCCTCGCCAACACTATTATCTATCTTTTTTATTCTAGGCATTCTAGTGGGTGAGTGATATCTTAATGGTTTTGACTTGCACTTACCTAGTGACTGATGACATTGTCTTTTCACATACTTATTGATCATTTGTATATCTAATTTGGAGAAACAGATATTCAAATCCTTTGCCTATTAAAAAAAATACTTTTTATAGTAATTTTGACTTCCCCTTACTCCATCCCCAACATACACACACTCACAGCCTCCCCACTATCAACATCCCCCAGCAGAGTGACACATTGTTATAATCAATGAACCTACACTGACACATCATTGTCACCCAAAGGTCACAATTTACATTAGGGTTCACTCTAGGAGTCTGAGCATGTATAATGGCATGTATCCACCTCTACTGCCCTAAAAACACTCTGTGCTGCACCTATTCATCCCTTTCTCCTCCCAGCCTCTGGCAGCCAATGATCTTTTCACTGTCTCCATAGTTTTGCCTTTACCAGAATGTCATATAGCTGGAATCACACAGTATGTACCCTTTTCAGAATTGCTCTTTCACTTAGGTATATCCATTTAAGTTTCCTTCATGTCTTTTCATGGCTTGCTAGCTCATTTCTTTCTAGCCCTGAAGAATATCTTAATGTCTGCACATGCCACTATTTATTTATTCATTCACCTCCTAAAGGACTTCTTGGTTGCTTCCAAGTTCTGGCAATCCTACCTAATAAAAGAGAAACTTGGAATTGGAGTACGACCGCTACCCTTCCCATTGGCTAATCAGGGCAATATGCAAATTAACTGCCAGCCAAGATGGCGGCTGGCAGCCAGGCAGCTTGAAACTAACATGAGGCTTGCTTGCTTCAGTGACGGAGGACTCCAACGTTCCCCGCCTGCCCCTGCAGGCCTCTGAGCTGCAACTCTAAGCAACTATGTAACAAATATAGAAGCTAAACAAAACCCCAGAAACCTTCTTTAGTCACCGGGCTTCAGCCAGCAGGATCACAACATTGTAAGCAAAGGCCAGAAACCTACTTTCAGCAGCGGAGGCCTAAGAGCTGGAGCCAAGCCTCAAAGCTAAAGCTGGCCCAGAATAAAAAAAAAAAAGAAAAAAAGGAGCTTCCGTCACCCCCAGCCTGAAAACAGCCCTCAGCCCCTCACCTAGACTGGCCAGGCACCCCAGTGGGGACCCCCACCCTGAAGGGTGTGTGACCAGCTGCAAACAGCCATCATCCCCTCACCCAGGCTGGCCAAGCACCCCAGTGGGGACCCCCACCCTGATCCAGGACACCCTTCAGGGAAAACCAGCCGGCACCCACCCGTGCACCAGGCCTCTACCCTATATAGTAAAAGGGTAATATGCCTCCCAGCACCAGGATCAGCGGAGCCGCGAGGCCTCCTGACACCAGGATCAGCGTGACAGGGGGCAGCGCCCAAACCCCCTGATCGCCCTGCGGCTCTGTGTGTGACAGGGGGCAGGGCCACAACCTCCCTATTCACCCTGCTCTGTTCGTGACAGGGGAAGGCGCCCCAACCCCCTGATCAGCCCTGCTCTGTGCCTGATAGGGGAGAGCTCCCCAACCCCCTGATCGCCCTGCGGCTCTGTGTGTGACAGGGTGTGGTGCCCCAACCCCCTCCCCCCCCCCCCCCCCCCCCCCGCCAACGGGCCCTGCTGTGTGTGTGACAGGGTAGAGCCATAACCTCCCCATCGGCCCTGCCCTGAGTGTGACAGTGGCGGCGCCCAACCGCCTGATCGGCCCTGCTCTGTGGGTGATAGAGGGCGGCGCCCCAACCCCATGATGGGCCCTGCTCTGTGCGTGACAGGGTACAGAGCCCCAACCCCCCTGATAGGCCCTGCTCTGTGAGTGACAGGGGGCAGCACCCCAAACCCCCTGATGGGCCCTGCTCTGTGAGTGACAGGGGGCAGCACCCCAAACGCCTGATTGGCCCTGCTCTGTGCATGACAGGGATTAGCACCGCAACCCCCCCATCCACCCTGCCTTGAGTGTGACAGGGGGCGGTGCCCCAACCCCCCAATCGGCCCTACCCTGAGCGTGACTGAGGGTGGCATCACAACCTCCCGATCGCCCTGCTCTGTGCATGACAGGGGGTGGTGCCCCAACCCCCCAATCGGCCCTACCCTGAGCGTGACTGAGGGTGGCATCACAACCTCCCGATCTGCCCTGCTCTGTGCATGACAGGGCGGCGCCCCAACTCCCCAATCGGCCCTGCTCTGAGCCCGACCAGGGGCTGCACCTAGGGATTGGGCCTGCCCTCTGCCACCCGGGAGCAGGCCTAAGCCAGCAGGTCGTTATCTCTCGAGGGGTCCCAGACTGCGAGAGGGCACAGGCCGGGCTGAGGGACCCCCCTCCCCCCCGAGTGCACAAATTTTTGTGCACCGGGCCTCTAGTTATGAATATAAAATTCCATGTGCAGATTTTCTGTGGACATAAGTTTGCAATTAATTGGGTAATACCAAGGAGTGTGATTGCTGGATCATATGTTCAGAGTATATTTAGTTTTGCCTGGCCGGCATGGCTCAGTGGTTGAGCACCAACCTATGAACCAAGAAGTCATGGTTGTGGGTTTGATCTCCAGTGTGGGGCATGCAGGAGGCAGCCAATCAATGATTCTCTCTCATCATTCATGTTTTGATCTCTCCCTCTCCCTTCCCCTCTGAAATCAATAAAAATATATTTAATAATAAAAAAAGAGTATGTTTAATTTTGTAAGAAACTGCCAGACTGTCTTACAAAGTGGCTGTATGATTTTGCATTCTCACCAGCAATGAATGAAAGTTCCTGCTACTTCACATCCTCATCAATACTTGGTGTCACCTTTGCTCATCTGTGTGTGTTTTTAAGAGCAAGAGAGAGAAACATTGATTTGTTGTTCCAATTATTTATGCCTTCATCGGTTGCTTCTTGTATGTATCCTGACTGGGAATCAAACTGTAACCTTGTGGTTCATGGTCGACGCTCAACCACTCAGCAACACTGGCCAAGCACCTTTGCTCATTTTTAATTGAGCTATTTGTCTTTTTATTATTGAGTTGTAAGAGCCTTTTACATATTCTAGATACAAGTCCCTTATGGAATATATGATCTGCAGGTATTTTATCCCAGTTTGTGGTTTTAGAAGCCTTTTATTGTTTTAATGAAAACGAATATTAACATTAATATTCATGACAGTGGTTACACCTAGAGGAGGCAGGAGCATGGACTAAGGTACACAGGTAGGTATCCTATAGGTGCCATGAGAGGTAGAGCACAGGCTCTGGAGCCACTACCTAGGTCTCAACCCAATGCTGTTAAGTAAGTAACTTAGTCTGTGTCTCAGTTTTCTCATCTGTAAAATGGGTTCAACAACACTCATCTCACAGATGTGTTGTGAGGCTTAAGCGAATTAATGTGCCTGGTTACCAGGTATATAGTGTACTTTATGGAAACCTTGATGACTGCCAATTCTTCAGTTGGGTCCTGGGGTTCAGAAGTTTTCGTTTTATTATCATGCTTTATCATTTATGTGTTACCTGCTTTCTTTTGTCTAGCTCATTTAAATGTACAAATAAATGTTAAAATGAAAGGAGAATAAAGTATCCACATTTTTAACCCTTTAAATTGAGAAAGAGAGGGCTAGATGCAGGGCCATCCCCCATGCTGGTCCGGGGCCCAGAGCTCAGCTCAGCCCGGCCCCTGCTCCTTCCGCGACGCTCACAAGGTGCCTGGCGCTGGACCCCGGGCGGGTGGGGTGGGAGGCCTAACGGGCGAGTGGCCTTGCCTCCGCCCGCCTCGGTTTCTCGCCTGTGAAACAGGGACGCTAACCACCCACCTGATCCGGGAGGTTAAGGAGGCCAGGCCCCTGCGCAGGCCCCGCCCGTCCTGTTTGCTATTTTCCCTTCACACTTCTAGCCCCCTTCATGCCAGGGGAGAACCTCGGCAGGAAAATGCCAGAAAAGAGAGAGACCCGGAAAGGACAACCTAAGGCTCCTCCAGCTCCAAAACTCTGCGCTGTGTTTCACAGAAATCCACAGTTGGGGAAGCAAACGTCCTTGTCGAACATGGGGCTGAAGGTAGAACCTACCTCCCCGGGCTGTGGAGAAGCGTCGAGAAACACAGGCCAGGAAAGCGCTTTCCCATCTGTATCGCACGTCGAAAGAGTTGACTCATGGGGGTAAAAAGTTTAGAAAAAGTGGCCCCACAGAAGGGCCAAGCCGGCGCCACAGCAGTCCAGGCGCCATTGTCTGCTTCAGCCGCCACCTCACCGGAGCCGACCCGGGAAGCTCGGCGAGGCCAGCGCGCCCCCGGCGCCCGCCCCCCCCCGCCCCCCCGCCCCCCCCGCCCCCCCTCCCCCCCCCGCCCCCCCTCCCCCCCCCCTCCGGCGAGCGCCGCGTCGCTGGGAGACCAGGCAGCTCGGCGGCACGCGGCCAGGCTGGGGACCGAGTGCCCCCTGGCGGCGCCGTCGGCGACCGTTAGGACGTCCAGCCGACTAGTTCGCGTTTCTGCTGATGAGCGTGAGCAGCCACCAACCGATTTCCTTCCACCCAGAGATACAGGCCTCCCGACCAATCAGAGAGACCTACAGCCGCCCTCCCGCCCATCCATAGAATTTAGGGGCGTGGCCTTCAATTTTAGCCAATAAGCAAAGACGTTCGTCCTTCGCCGCACTAGCGGGTGGAAAGGGGGCGGGGTTGGGGGGGTGGTTACTTTAGCAAGATGGCGGCGAGCGGCGTCCGCCGGGCGGCTGCTGCGGCCAGCACCTCGGTGAAGCCCATTTTCAGTCGGGACATGAACGAGGCCAAGCGGAGGGTGCGCGAGCTCTACCGCGCCTGGTATCGGGAGGTGCCGACCACTGGTGAGAGGCATCGGCGTGCGCGGGGCACCGGAGGCGGCCGCTCAAGGTCGCAGCCCTCCCGGCCTCTGATTTCTCTCGGGCCCGGCAGAGGCGCCCCCACGTGTTTCAGGGGAGGAGGGTCACCGAGCTTGGGTGGACCCGACCTGGCAGTGGCGCCGGGGTCAGACCAACTGTGTCCAGCATTCCTACCGCGCTCCTGGGCGCCCTCGGCGCTTTGGCTCCCATCCCCCCCATCCCTACCCCCCCCCTACCCCCCCACCCCTACCCCCCCACCCCCCTAATCTAAACGAAACCCCGGGAGGGAGAGCAGGGCCTGTCAATGACGTACTCACTGTGTGGGGTAGGGAACTGAGGCACGGAGAGGCTAAGTGGCTGCCCCAAGTCCAGAGCTAGCCTGGTGATCTGGAACCCAAAGGCAACTCTAGCTCCCAGACCATGTCCAGCGCCCCTGGGTTACCTGTACAGCAGGGTGTCTTGTAGGGCTGGGCGACCGTCGGGCTCCCACGTCTCTCACAAAAGAAGCTGAACCAGAGAAGGGAAGTGACTTTCCCAAGGTCATCCATGTCAGTTGCCCCGCCCCCCTCCATCTCCTAGCCTTGCTCCCTGTGCGTCTCTGCCTGCCCTAGTCGTGCTTAGCCACTGCTCCCCTCCACCCCGTGGCCGGCTCCGCTACTTCAGAACTCCTGCAATCACCGAGATGTCAGAGAACCAGCCTGTTCACCTCATGTGTTAAATATAAACTGCAGGGTTCAGGGACTTTGTTTCCTTATCATGGCATCCCCCTCAGTGCTCCCCACCTTCTGTACCTGATGAAAGAAAGGTTGGGGGAAAGCCCCCTAAACCAGTGATGGCGAACTTTTTGAGCTCAGCGTGTCAGCATTTTGAAAAACCCTAACTTAACTCTGGTGCCGTGTCACATGTAGAAATTTTTTGATATTTGCAACCATAGTAAAACAAAGACTTATATTTTTGATATTTATTTTATATATTTAAATGCCATTTAACAAAGAAAAATCAACCAAAAAAATGAGTTGGCGTGTTGCCTCTGACATGCATGTCATAGGTTCGCCATCACTGCCCTAAACTGTCAAGGGCAGTCAGTACTCATGTCAGGGCCTGGATATTTTGTTTCATTGATTTAGTGCAGCGGTTCTCAACCTGTGGATCGCGATCCCTTTGGGGTTCGAACGACCCTTTCACAGGGGTCGCCTAAGACCATCGGAAAACACATATATAATTACATATTGTTTTTGTGAGTAATCACTATGCTTTGATTATGTTCAATTTGTCACAATGAAAATACATCCTGCATATCAGATATTTACATGACGATTCATAACAGTAGCAAAATTACAGTTATGAAGTAGCAATGAAAATAATTTTATGGTTGGGGGTCACCACAACATGAGGAACTGTATTAAAGGGTCGCGGCATTAGGAAGGTTGAGAACCACTGATTTAGTGTGTTTTAATGCAGACCATCACTGCTAGTCCGAGAGGGGAGGTGTTTTTAAGCTAGCTGGAGCACCATAGCACCTCTTCCGGGCTGCTACTCCCCACCTGTGTGTGAGGAGTAGAATGTGGTGGCTGCTGAACTTGCCTCCAGACCTTGCCCCTTACTGTGTGACCTTGGGCAAGTGATTTCACCTTGCTGTGCCTCAGTTTCCTCATCTATCAAATGAGGATAATAGTACCTTCTTCCAAGAGTTACCGTGTTAAATAGGTTAATATAGCTAGAGTGCTTAGGATAGGGCCTGGCACTCAGGCACTCCTTAAATGTTGGCTGCTACTGTTTTTTCATTGTTGTTATTATCACTGTTGTTATTTATAGGGCTTACCCTAGCAGAAGCCTCCTTGTAGAAGTCCTCTAACGATAGGAACTCTGACTGCTCCACACTGTCCCTGTCCTCAAGCTGACTTGGAGAAATTGTGGATGACCAGAACTTAAACCCACAGGATCCTAGGGAAGGAGAAACTTGAGAGAACTAACTACTGGTTCAGGGATTGTAAATTCAAATGCCTTCAGGGGACAGGTGGATAATAGGTATGAGGAGTGTGTGTTAAATTCAGATGTTTCAAAATACAATGCTTGCCTAGAGTGCCCAGAACCCTTTCTTGTTACAGGGAGGAGTGGGAGGTAGGGAACAGTTGAAATTTACACCAGGGTTTCTCAGTAGCCACATTTGTGCTGGGTAATTCTTTGTTTTAGAGGACTGCCCTGTGCATTGTAGGATGTTCGCAACATCCCTGCCCTCTACCCACTAGATGCCAAGAGCATTCCCCCCTAATTGTGACAAACCAAAATACCTCCAGACATTGCCATATATTAGGGGCAGGGGGGGCAGAGTCACCGCTGGTTTGAGAACCACTGATTTAGACCAAAGAACAATTCAGCAGGCCATAGCTTAGGCTGCTCCTGTTTGCCTTCCTAAGGCCTTTCCACTGGTGGAAGGTTGTGTTCAGGGGTTAGGATGCCAGGAAGGCGCCTGGGACAAAGCTATGGAATTTGTCTCTTGAGAACAAAGGTTCTTAACCTGGAAGGATGGGCATTCAGGGATCTATGAACTGACTTCGTAAGCAAAACTTTGCATTTGTGCACATGACATTTTCCTGGCAGGTGGTTCAGGAGGACATGAGGATGGGAGTGATGAGCACCAGCTCCCCTGGTGTGCCTACAGTGAGGAATCGAATATAAAGATGCAAGGGTTATACTGATAGCAAGGGAAGGTTCTTCATATTTCTTTCCTTCAAAGAGTGCCAATTGTAAATTTTAAAACAACACAAGAAACACCCTGGATTCCAGGCCCAAGTTTGCCAGGGACCAGTAGTATGACCTCAGGCAAGTCCCCACAGTGCTCTAGGACAGCGGTCGCCAACCTTTCGGACCTCAAGGACCACCGGTTGGCGACTGCCGCTCTAGGCCTCACTCCTCCCCCCCATCCCAAGTGGTAAGATTCTAAATTCTAGGCTCCACACTAGTTTACATTTATTTTTGTGTCTCTTATTGTCCCTTTGTTTACCATTTTCTGAAATTCCTAATATGATACTGTAGTGTTTTAACAGCCAACTCTCTGGAGGGAAATCTAGATGTGTAATGTTTTCCGTTTCCCACGGTGTAACTACTCCCACCACGGCTGATGTTAAGCTATGGAAGCGAAGGCGGCGAAGGCAGCAGATTTGGGGAGATGGTAGAATTGGCTCCCCATGGGAAACTGCGCCAGCGACCACTGGAGTTCTTTCTACTGTCTGCTCCTCAGTCCTGCCCGTTCTGTGAACACTTCCTGACCTATGAAACTGGGATGCAGCTTCTCCTGTTCAATTTCTGCTGTCGTGTATTTACTCCGTGTGTGGGTCAGAAACACTGTCTTTGCAGCATGGCATAGGATTTCCTCAGCAGCTTTGCTTTGCTGTCACCAAGTTATGAGTCTAGTTAAAAAGTCAAGCGTTATTATTCATTCAGTCGGTCACTAATTAGCTCTCAACAGTGGTTCTCAGAGCTGGTTGTGACAGTTCTGTAGAGTGGAATGGACATGTCGCAGGAATGACCACAACACCAGGCACCTCACCAAATGAGCACACTGCCCAGCCTATCCCGAGAGCCTCGTTTGTGCTGTGCATTCAGCTGGTGGGCCCCCTTCTATCCTTATTGCACCTACCACACAAGGCTCTGTCATCAGCAAATCCACTGCAGGCTGACTGCCCGGGATGGGAATACAAATGACTGCAATCTAATTTTCAAAGGCCATCCATGTGCTTCACATGAAGTCTAGGTCATTGAGTCTCTGCCACTGTTTTAGGCACATATTTAACCAGGGATTGCTGAATATTGTGATTTCATGTTTGCATTCATGGGTAGCAGTTCCTCTAATTAGAATTTACAACCAAGAGAACAGGACTTTTGTCAAACTTCTCTCTTCTTCCCCCAGTAACCTAACATGGTAGTGCTAGCTGGATCGAAGCCTTCCCTGCCTGCACAAACACTCAGCAGTCTCCCTCAACTCTAAGTTTGTATAGTGCACAAACCCACACCACATCATTTTACCTTAATTCCAACCTGTTTTTTGGCAGATGTTCCATATAATACTACTACTAACATTTATTGAGGATTTATTCCATGCCAGGCACTGTTCTAAGCATCTCGCATTGTTAGAATCCTCCCAACAGCTCTGGAGTTAAATGTGCTATTATTGTCCTCACTTCATATGTAAGTGCACTCAGGCACAGAGAAGTTAACGTACACAGGGATATATAGCTGGTAAGTGACAGAGATGGAATTTGAACCCAGGTCATTCATACGCTTGACCTATGCTCTTACTGCCCTTCAAATGCAGTGGCCTTGTCTCCCCAAACAAAATATAAGCTCTTTGAGGGCAGTCTCACACTTCTTCACATCCTCAAGCACCTAGCTTGGGGTCAGGCTAATATTTGGTAAGTGAAT